CCATTAATACATTCTGTGACTGTTTCTTGCAAGAGACTACCGATTCCTACGGCCCAGTCCTCTAATTGCTACGTAATAAAAATGAAAAAAACTCCAACTTTATTAATAAGTTTACTTCTGTTGTAGCTATTTCATGTATATGTCATGTTTGAACTTTGCTATTTAAAATACAAAAATCCTGTTTGATATGATGATTTGGAAGCATCAAGTCTAAAACCTCAAAAGCTGGTGTCGCAGTTGTTTTCATGTAAATAGACATGAAAAGGAGCGTAATCTCGCCATGAACTTACAGTAATAATGCAGTACAAAAAGAAAAAAGTTTGCATCACCTTATATTTTCAGCAAGATAAAGAACTATATTATTCTATGAATCATTTTAAATATAATTCCAATAAAACCTTGTTCTCTTTGAGGAAATCTTACAGTCCAGCATCTGAACCACAAAAAGGGACAGAGATGGCCTTTAAGACTACATGTCAGACAACACAGACAATGGGATCATTGACCTGTTGGGTTACTGAAATAAAATTTTAAAAAATGAGTCACAAAAGCTGAGAAATCTATCCTAAAATATTTGCTTTTTCCCAATCTGCTTGAAGATGAGCATTTTAAATTCATGCCAAGGTAATAAATCACTTTATAAGCTCATTGCTTTCCCAAGTGAAAAACAGTTTATAGGGAAATTCCATTTTATTGAAAGGCAGTTGATACTAATGCCATTTTCAAAACCAGTTTTTATTCCGGGTCTGCTCCTTCAAGCTTTAATTTTATTTACTGTAGCTAGGACTCTGAAAGAGTTCTTCTTTGGTATTCATTTTCATAATTTCTTATAAGAGTAAAAAATGCTCAAGTAATGTCCAAAATTAGACTAAAGGAAACTGGGGATGAACTGGGAAGAGGAATCCAGATTTTCTCCCTACTTACATGAGAACTAGACATGAATTATCCAATTGAACATTTTGATACAGGAGCCTATCTAGCATATGCCTGCTCACAAGCACACACCATCGTCTTACCGCTTTTTCCAAATTTAAACCTGAAGCTGTGGGATTTTGATGAATAACAGTGGAATCAGCCACATGGTGTTAAGTTCATTGCTGTTGGAGCAATGGTCAGTGATACTCAGCCCTTGTAAAAGACAGACCTGACAAACCAATCACTCAGCCAACGAACCTTGTGAGGGTGTTCACACACTGACAGGAGTATGATTTTCATAAGCAAACTGAAGGTAGCTCCATAAATCATCACAGAAGTCCTCACACCATGTGGTAGGCTACTAAGCTTTGTGACACTACATTGGACATCAAGTAGAAGAGATTTGGGACCTGATCCTCTATTAATATAAACTCTCATCACTGCATTCTGAAGAGCTCTTTTTCCATGGATGCTTCTGTTGATCTAAACATGATCCTGCAAGAATTAGAACGTTTCAGCTTTGGGTCATGGGTGCACTGAAGAGTTTTTCAGTGATTAACACTATGAAATGTGCCCATACTCACCTACCTTTCCTATTTCAAATGCTGGGATCGCTCTACTGACTTTTTTTTTTAGGGTTATTTTTGGATTGTTTTGAAGAAATTCTATACAGAAGAAAAACATAAAAAAGATCAGGATATACTCCTCTCATCATTCTGCTCCACAGTATTATACTGAAGAGACATAGGCTTTCTCAGTTCAGAGAAAGTTCAATTTTAGTTAGCTGTTCTCCCAGTTTACTCAAGTGTAATGCTGCATGTGTGAATTTTCACACCAGACTATATTTGGAACTTCACAGATCAGATATAATTTTTAATTATGTTACAGGTAAACAACTGAGTTCAGAGCCTCTTTTAGGGGGATTACAGTCTGTTTCCAAGGCTGGGATCAGATGTAATTTTAGGAATGAACTGCATTTTGTACTGACTCGCATTCCTTCTGATCCACTGAGTTCAGTGGGACTGTAGGGCTCAGAAGTAAAGCAAAATTTGGCCTACCATTTCCGCTGTCGCAGTACAACTTTCTTTTGTGTCCTCTACATAATTAATTGCCAGACCTCAGAGAACGTGTTGTCCCATTCACTGTAAAATAGGAGGGTCCACGGAGGAAAACAGTTGCATTAGAGAAACACACAAACGACATTAAGGCTACCTAGTTTGATGTTTTTGAACCTTTTTCTTTTCCTCTGCAAACAAGAACAGTTTCAATAGGATGTCAAGTGATACTCTTAACAAATAATACACTAGTCTGTCATATGGTTAATATTAACGTCTCTCTATTCAAACATGCTGAAAACTGAATAGAACAGTTAACATATAACAGCCACACATCCTTTGCTGAGTACAAGATCGCATCTCTAACATGAACTGAAGATATCCTCACCATTTCAGATCTTCATGTGTCATTCAGTCAAACATTTCATTCTCTTAAATACATCGCTCTTCCCCTTTTTCTGGGTCTTTTGGGGATGCTGAGTGAACACATTCTCTCCATAAAAGCATCGCTTATGATATGGTTCTTTCTTCAACAGAAATCTTGCCGTGTGTTTCCAATATGTTGCTAAAGGTGAAATTGCAGAGTTTGGTGGGATTCGGGGCTGAGGCGGCCTTACATTTGGATTGAAAAGATCTAACTTTGAAACATCTATTTGGACAGCATTCTGCACTTTATTGCAGAGAGACCATCTCTTCATGAAATTAATGGTGAACAATTAATTAATTGTGATTGCTCTTCACAAATTATTGAATCAGAACTTTATATAATAACCAGGTTTTATATTACAGGTATGTTCACAGGGCTTACGGGCAGAGGCAAGCTCACTTTGCTCATGTCCTGAGCTGGTGGGATGTAAACAGTGTTGACGAAGTCACACGACTGTAGGGATGCAAAGCCCTCCCACCTGAGCCCCACCTAATACACCTCATCTTGCAGAGGGTTTATTTGGTGTGGGCTTGGGGCCATACCCACCGCAGCCAGCTGAGCTCATGCACAGTGAGACTGTGCCCAGCCACAACATACTGCAGAAACACATCAGGGTGAGACCACTCCTCATGGTGATCCCACCTTACTGCTGCAACAAAAGCTCTGTGTCTTTGAAGAAGGGAGTCCCAATGAGGCATGCTCTATCCTGGGGCATAAAGCATAGTTTGCCCTCAAATATATTTTTATTGAAAACACACAGCAAAGATTACAGCCATAGAAAGTTCTGCAAACAAGACAATTTCATCAACTTTATCATTAAAAAAAAAATCAAACCCAAAATAAAACCATAAAAGAAACGCAAAATAAGACTTGCTGAATGAAGACTGCGAGTAACTTTTTTTACTGCCTTAACAAAAATAATGACATACACCTTCAGCATTTCTTTTCCAAATTTACTCGACAGAGGTTAAAATATTGCTTTATTCTGACTCAACATACAACAGCACTGCGTGATCTATTGTGCTATTTGGAGAAGTCTTGAGACTTGTGAACTGGAAAGTCTGGGGCACAATAATAAACTTAACAATTAATTTGCTGCAAAGGAATATTTTAATACATTCTGTATATACTGTAATTTTTTTTTAATCAATCTTCTGACATTAACCAGGGACGGCTATTTAGCAATTGTTTATTATAGTTGATTTTCTTTTTCCCCATGAATAAGCAGATATTTTAATACTAATAAAACCAGTAATGTGTATGTCACCGAACCCAATTAATTGCATTATTGGCACATTGTATTACAATTTATGGGGGGAAGAGAGACTCAAAAGAAAGCAAATGCAAAAAATGCTTATAATGTGATTGGGATATGGCAACCAGGACATGACATTTCTTCTCTAAGGCCTTCACCCCCCTGCAGGGGGTGATTTGGTGGAAACCATCTGCTCTTATATAGCCCCATTAGAATCAGATCCGTGTACGCTTGTGGGTCTGCCCATACTGAATCATCTGCAGGGCTGAAGCTTTAAAGTTTACAAGCCTAAGCCACGATTAATTAAAGTGACTGGAAAACATAAAGTGGGAACAAATTAGGGCAGTGTGGACACTTATCGGCTGGATTTTGATCATATTGGATCTCCCTGACTCTTCTCTGAACAACCCATAATAAAAAACAAGTTAAAAAAAATACACACACACTCAGAAGGGCTCCTTGAGAGCTTACAAAAGCCTTCAAAGTATAACAGTTTAGAAATGTTGAGGGGTTGGTAACAAAAAATGGAGTTTATGTTCCCATTCAAAAAAACCCCAAACCAAAACCCAAATCTGTCATAATGCACACTTTTGCACTTTCTCTTTTTCTTCCTCACTCTTCACCAAGGCAGCTCTGACAGGCAAAGCTCAGAAGATGGAGCAGCCATGGGCTCCTGACCACTGCATCTCGACAGACCCCGATCCCACTCCACACTTGGCCAAACCCAAAGCTCCTAAATGTTTTCATCGACTTTCTTGGGCTGACACATTAAAGTAAGGTCGAGAGTTAAGCATCTGGCTCAATTTAGGGATTTATTGTTATTTCACAGTAGGTACCAGACCTCAGAAGTAGATGTCTGTGTGCCTGTTTCCATGGTATGAACCTGGAACCAAGAGGAGAGGGGGAGAGGGGACTGGGTCTGTGCTGGGGTCACAGGACTGGCTCCCCAGGGTCTGAATCCCTGGCCAGCACATCACTGCAGTGCTGCCCTGAAACCAGAAATGAATCTAAGAATGGTCTTGGCCTTTACTATAAAAAAGATGCATAAGCCTAAGCCTTCGGACAGCCGAATGGGACAGTGGTAAAATGCTCTGTAACTGAAACAGTATGTGTAATCCTGCCTAGAAAGCACCTGATGTACGCTTCATTCCTCCTGGAACTTTTCCCTTAAAAAAATATTTTGTTAAAAAACACTATGATATGAGGGCGATTGACTATTTGGTTTCTTCTAAGTAGATGCTCTTAAATTAATGCATATAAATAATTTGTATTTAATTTCCTCCCTTCCTGTTTAGCAAAGCATTGAATGCACAGATCTCGTTTCCCCTCCCAGAACCCCCACACAAAGTCACTTGGTCAATACCGAGTCTCTTTGCGATTCGCTTTTTAAGACAAATTGTGCCTCTCGCTCTGACTTGGCCATGGGGCTCATGGGCAGAAAGGCCGTGTTTTCGCTCGCGCTGCTCTCTGCTTCTACGCTTGCCAGTTCATAGTCCTCTGACCGCCTCGCGTCCGTCAGAATCCGAATCTGCTCCTGCACAGTTTCTAGCAATATTTTCACTTCGTGTTGTTCTGCTATAAGACAATTACTGACTGGGGAACTCACATTGACAAGTTCAGCTGAATAGGAGTTTTTGCACCATTTGATGCCTGTTACTTCAGAAACATTTTGCATTTGCATGCAGGCTTCATCCAAGCCCACAGACGGGATGATGGGAACGGAGTTGGCCCTTGAAGATGAATAGCCGACCAAGTCCTTCTGATCCACATTATTAAAATAAGGGGTCGTCTCTCTCGAAGGCAGTTGCATATTTATTGAAGTATTCTGAGGAGTTTTTAAACCACTGGATGAATACCTGGAACGAGTAAAAAGAAGTTTTTGTTGTACATCAAGCGCTCAGATGCAACCGGCAGCAATGAGATTCAGTGAACTGTTCTGAAAAGATATATGTCATTTTTTTCCCTCACACTAGGAGCACTTGGTAATAGTGCAGCCTGGGGAAAACAACAGACTCTAGAGACCTGGGTTTGATTCTCAGACTGCCAGTGGCAAACCACTGCTTTTCTCTCAGTCTCATTTTGCCCACCAGTATATGAGGATTATGACAATTCCTTTTAAAAGATTTCAGGAGTTATACTGTATTGCTCGTTTTCTTTGAAATTCAATTTCAAATTCCATTCCTACATTCCTAACTGGGGAAAATGGATTGATGCTTTCTTCAACATCAGAACTCTCAATGTCAAATAGCTATTTTAGGAAAACACTTTAAAAGAGGTGCAGGAAAGAGAACTTTAAACAAAACATGGTTGTGTAGTCTTTACACAGACACGATTGTCTGTGCTTCCCTTCAAACAAGCAGAGCATCTAAGTGCAGTGTACCTCTGAAAAACAGGTCTTTTTTTCAATAGCCCATACTCCTAATGTTGGCCTGATTTGTTTTCTTAGATCTCATATGGAAACAGAGCTAATATATCGGGCTTGAGCAAATGTCTGTGTTTTCCCGATGCTGCATTCCTGTGTTTCAAAAAAAAATCATTCCTTTATCCTCCATTAATATATATCATAGCATGATTTCATTGATTGTGAGGCAACTTTGGTGAATTTTTATCAACATTTCCACTTTGTTTTAAAGCCAAATTCATTATTCTGATCAGAAAGTGTTTTAATTTACAGGAAATACTTAAAACAGAAACGGAAAGTATACCAAATATAAAAGAAAGGAAACAATGACCCAAAAAAAAAAAAAAAAAGAGATGTTTCCCATCTGAGAAGTAGTATTACTAGAAATTTAGGGCTCTAAGAGTTACTATATCTACTAGTCATCATTGTCAACGACCACAGACATCACCTCAGTACCGAAACATATTTTATTTATAATCAGGTTTATGATCATATCGGTATTTAATAAGGCAAGCTAATGGTGAAGCCAAATATGTTTTATCTATGGATGAGGAAAGCAGCATTTAGATCTGGTGTAGAAGCAGGTGCTTTGAGCTCTGACTTGAAGGGTATTTTTCTGAGAGCTGCTTAAGCCTGCTGGACTTCACTAGGGATATCCTTCTACTCATACGTGCCTTGCCACTTTTTGGCATTAGCAGAAAGAGAACTAAGGAAAAGAAAGTGAATTGCATGAAACAGCCATAGTCCAATATTAGTGCGCAATGCTAATTAACTGGAAAGGCTTCCTTTGGCCCATCTGCCTGGCGAGCTGTCAGACAGGAGACAGAGGAGAAGATAACTTTAGGCTCATTTCCAGCAGAGCGCTGCTGACTTGTAATTAACTCATCTACTGTGGCACCGTGTTTCTGCAACTACTTGACACATTAACCCTGTACACGTGCACGCATGCAGTTCTGTGCAGTCCCTGTACGAAAACTCTCCAGGCATCCCCAAAAGACCAGAAAACACAGCTGGGAGCTCTGCAACAAGGCAGGAGGTGGTGTGATCTTTCCTGCTATCTGATGGAAAGAGATACTGCTTTGGGAAGTGGGACGCAGGGGAATAATATAGCAAGCGGCTTTTTTAGATACATGCTAGAGCTTCTTGTACACGCTTCACTGCTGCATTTATGTTTTACATCTGAGCCAGCTGAGACTCAGCTTTTGGTTAATTACATTGATACAAATGCACCATGCTTAGACACACTTGTACCCATTTACGGAGGGCCTTTTTAGAACAGTTTTCAAGAATCAGTATGAATGAAATACTGGTCAGGGATATCATTCCCGAGGGAGGATAATTTAAAAAAAAAAAAAAAAAAGAAAATAAAACAAAAGAGTGCAGACCTTTGGGTTGTGCCCATTCTTGTTTCCTTTGCTTATTATATAATTGTTCAGACTATAGCTGGAGAGATCGCATCAGTTGCATTATTCCCTTTTTTGGTAATTCGGGCCCTAAATATATTCTGGGCTGCACCCTGAAAACAAAGGGAGCGAATGTTTTTAATGAATTTCACATGCAATGGATGTATTATATGGATGATATAGAAGCAAAACCAAGAAAAGACTAAATTAAAATGGGTTTGGTGATAGAACAATAACATTTGCCAATTCCATAATAGAGATTCAATTATCCTTGGTATTTGGAAAATTAACTGGCAGCAACAATAACATGTAAGGCAATGCCTGGCATATTTCCATAATATTTTTTGAAGTACAGATAGACACACCGATTTTATGCCAGAATCAAGTATTTCTGCCCTGTATTCACAGGGCTTTCAAAGGAGGACTGACATTGAATTAAAGCACTTACGCTATGTGCAATAGGCAAGGTATTAAACTAGTAGGGATATTACATCTAAATCATGTAAGACTCAGATTTTGGTTAATTAAACTGATCCATGCTTCTACTTTTGACACCAGACTGCTGCTGTTTTCAATAGACTGAGACTTAGACCTGTAATTGCAGAATCTTAATTACATTTTCCTATAATTAACTTTCCCAGAACTATAGGTCCTCCTAAGAAAGATATCTGGTTTTTTAATCTGAAAAATTATTTTGTCTGAATAAATTCATTCATGTGCATATATTTCAAAGTGCAGCTCTCTGTCCACTCTCCTCCTAAAACCAAGCAAAAAAAGAAACTCAAACATTTATAAATATACAACAGTAATTATGTTATACTTGTACAGTGTTTAAGAGCCTAAATTAAAAAACAAAACTGAAAGCATAATAATTTTACTGCCTCCTTAACATAGATATTAAAGAGAGACAGAAGGGATCGGAACTTAAAACACAAAATGGTTTTTGTTTAGCATAGTACCAATAGCTTTGCTATAAGCCCTATTGCTATAGGTGTTTGGTATACGAGCCTGATGACAAGGTCCATTAAGACGAATAGGAGACATTCCAGTGGCATCACCAGGCTTTGGTTCAGCCCTGTAAGCACATATACTTACATATACACACCCCATTTTCAAACTGTAGATATGACACATTGGGTCTTGTATACATAAACACATTTACAGGCTATAAGGCACTACTTCTAACACTTCATACCATATAACACAAACAGCTGTCAGTGAAAGCGTGCGATCAAACTGCTGTCCACTTAATTGCATGTAAATTCGTGACACCCTCCAGGACTTGAATCAGTCTCTGAGATGTGACCAGCATGGAGATGGTTTGTTTTCTTTAAGCCTCTCATTTCAAGCAGGTTTTTCTACTCCTCTTCAAGTAGCATACTGATAAAATAACTGATATTAGCTGTATTTGACTGAAACTCAGCAAATGTTAGATCCTGTTGCAAATAATGAGATCTGGTGCTTCCTGAAGGCAGCAAAAGATTTCTATTCAATGTAGGATGGGAAGAGGAATACTTTTACATGACTAGACAAAAACTAATCAGGTAAATTAGCCTCTTTTCTATCGAATATAAACATACAAAATCTGACTAAACTTCAACCAGAGCTGCTGATGGATGAACTTCAGAAGGCTCACAGAATTAGGGAGATAAACCAGTTTGATTTGTGCATCCCTATAGGGAAAAGGTGATAAGGGAGAAGAAAGGAAGTGGTGTCACTTCTGCAGGGGACAAAGGAACTTTTCATTTGGGCTGGAAATCTAATGGGAATACCAACACTATGAAACCAGCAGATATTTAGATGGTAAAAAGCCATCTGATTTGGGGGAAACCTTCCTAAGTTAGAAGAACTCCACATAAAGTAGAATCAGTGAATTATTTTTTATTTTTATTCAGAGATAAGATGCATATTTATATTTTGGTTGAAGAGATTACTTCATTGCTGCAACACAAAATAACTTGCAAATAGTTCTTTTACACTCTTAAAAGACTTCATTAGCATAAAAACCATCATCAGTAAAACGTAATGAAATAAGATCAAAGAATTGCTTTTGTTTTCATGCCTAATATTGACATTTAAAAAATTCATTCCCATGGGCACTAGTTGAAGACTTTTGGTATCATATTTGTGATATACACAAACTGCTGTGACTTGCTATCACACCACCACCAGTTAATGCACTCAGAGGACTCCTTCAGAGAAAGGTCCCATCGTTAGAGTCGATATTAGGAAGGTCTAATTCTACAGATATTCCTAGCACACAAAATATGGATGAAGTGCTTTAGTGGACTGAGGCCAGAAGGGGTCACAGTCTGGCCAACATTTTGCAGAACTGTAAATTTAAAAGATAGGCCAGTACAAGACGATACTTGCAATATCACACACTGATTTCCTAGAGAAGAGTAAATACAACTACTCACAAGACAGCTTTGCTGCTTTCTACCTCACTCAGCCTAGGAAGAGGCTGCAGCACTCCCCAGAGCCCGTATCACAAAGACACTGCTGTTGAAGAGGGAAGGCTGTTAGACTGCCCCTTTCAGGAAGGGTTGCATTCAGAGTCACAATTTTCATAAGGAATTATACACACATTATCATACAAATGAACACTAATACATTTACTGCAAGGAGTAATAAACAAGTTTTTCCTTAGAAACAGCAAATAGTTACAAAGAAAGAAGTATGAGACAAATTTGTACTTTTTAAAAGAAGTCACCGGACGCTCAAACCTCTTGCTGCTTTGCTTTCTCCCTTCCTAGGTAAACCCTGTTCTTGGTCTGTCTTTCCTAATTACTGTGGCCAACTTTGTTAGGTAGATTCAGCCACAAAACATTCAGTAAGCCAAGTCCCCCTCTCACAGAGTACCCCAGACTCGGCAATCCTGCTGCCGGCTGGGAAGTGTGGTGAGGGAGGCGCGGGGCGAGTGTGTGCCTGCGCGTGTGCCCACACATGCACCGACACACATGTGTAACGATGCTGATTCTTGGTCAGCACTTGTGGCTGTCATTTCCCAGAAGGTCAGACTGGATAGAGGTAGTAGCTCCTTTCTTGCCTGAGGAAAATTAAATACGTAGGTGACCTCAGTTCTGCACTTCATAAAGCCAGTTCCAGTGTAACTGCGCTTTGCTGCACTTAGCTGTGACTTACATGTGTCCAAATGAAACTGGTGGTGTTTTATTTCATTCCAGATATCACTCCTAGTTTTACACATAATATGTTTATAGTGATTCTGGAAAGTCTTTGGAAATCTATAGGGATATGTAAATATCATGCTAAATACCTCAGCAATTGCAAAAGACTTCAAAGGCAGCTGTAGGTGCTCAGGAGCACTTCTGAAATTTAGACCTTATGTACAGCTGGAGTTCACATTCAATATTTAATAAGGTGAATTAAAAAAGGAAAAATATTGGATTCTTCGTGCATTTTCAAAGACAAACCTGTGTGAAGTGATCGGTCTTCAGTCTACAGCAAACACACTTTGCAATGTACATAGATTTATTTAAAAAAAACATGAAAGTTGGACTTCTGAATTATTTTCTCTGATTTGCACAGTGCTGATAGAAGAAAAAAATGCTATGCAAAAGCTACGAGAACATCACGGCACTGCTAGAAAAAGCATGAATTATAAAGAGTAACATCGCCAATCACTTACAGTTTGTTCTAATCACTCCTTCTACAGCCTTTGAAAGGCTTAAAAAGAGCAGCCAGTCAAATAAAAACATATTACCTTCAAAGAGTCAGTACGCTGAAAACATTCTTCTGCTTTCAGTACTATAAACCGATCCACAGTACACTACAACCAAGTTGGAGGGACTGTAATGGCAAAGCATATTAACCACGTAAGAGCAGCCACTCACAAACTCGCTCACTTCGGTTATGTTCTTACTTACCCGTGACAAGGTATTGTGTCCTGGTCTGTGAGCCTTGACTCTTCCAGCTGTTGATATGCTGGTCCTGTAATTCCATTGAACCTACCCCGAGGTAAGGGAGGAGTCCTCCGAAAGGCATTTCTATGTAGCATCCCACTTTTTTGTCCTGGGCTGCAGCATGAAGAGAGACTTCTAGGAACAACACCAAGAGTACAGTAAAAATTATCACAGCAAAAGCATAAACTTCTGCAAAGTAAAGATTCAGAATTAATAATGCATGGGTTACTGTTTTTATAAACTTTGCTGTGGCAGTTTATGACGTCAGTAGAAATTCTCTATGGAAATATAATACTATAATCCACAGTTAGCTGCTGTTTACGCCATATTTAATACATCACATCTCTTCTAGGAATAAAAATAATTGCCTGGTATATTAAACATTTTCTTGTACTTGATGAAGGATGCTTCTTTTTTTCCATGCTGCATACCATAATCATGCCATATAGAGCTGATTCCTCAGACAGTATAAACAAACAGCACAGCTTCATCATACCTATAGCCGAGTTCAAAATCAGATCTTAAATTGAGAGCCCATTATATCATCTATCAGCCTACGAGGTGCTGCTTCCTGATACAACAACATTACATTGGGAGTAAAATGTAAGTGAAGAATGGAAGTGAAGCTTATGAACTGCAGTTTGAAGAAACCATCTATGACACAAGTTTTCTCCATGTTGAACAAGATTTCTTTCTGCATTGTTTTACATGCAGATTGTTTTCTTGTTTATAGACATTGATAAATACCAGACTGTTTCTTTATATGATATAATACAAACTTGAATATGATAAAAACAAGTACAATTTTTCTACTTAGTTTAGAAAATTGCACTTTTTTTTGTAGTGTTTTGGAAGGAGAATGGATTTTTTCCACTTTGTGCAGGAATTAAAAGGTATCTATAGAATCTTTAGTTTTGGTTCATTAACCATAAATTCAGCTTTTCCTAATGCAAAAATAAGGGAACACAGAATTAAGGCAAGATATAACTTATTTCTACTGTTAACAGGTCACAGTACTGCACAGCATGACTGGCTATTAATTTTCCAGGTATTCCTATTTCTCTTGACATCTCCTGGGTCTCAGAAATGCATATGTATTACCTAATATTCTGTCACATCCTTAATGATATTTTAATATAGGTTTTGTAGATGCATTTTAGGAGTCACTATCCTTGGTTACATGAATAATTTCAACTTCTGATACCATTCAGCTATGCAAAAGACTTTTGATAAGTTTGCTTCTCTTTTCCTATTATAACATGATTTAAAAGCAATCTGCATTTTATACCCAGTGGGAATAATATTTATAGTTAGGGCCACATCTACTCCCAGAGCACTTCTTGCTTGGACCAAGTATCTTGGACAAATTCTCTTGGAGTGTACATTTCCATTAAAACTGACCTTTTCTCCCAAAGTCAAAACAGAAGATAAAATTCAACAGTCTCTATCCTACTGCTCAGGTCAGCAGTGTTTCATCACGGTTTTCACTCTGTTCTCTTCCAGACTTTTACTTCCCTGGTGCTTTTTAATTGAAAAGATCAATAACCCAAAGCAATAGCACTCCCTCAAAGATTTTCGATGCTTCCTTAAATAGATTTTTCCTTAGCTATTAAGGAGGCTGCAAAAAAACTTCTTAAAAAAACCTGAAGTACTGGCCTTTCAATTCTGAAGGCTGAGTTTAACTTGTGAGTTACAGTTCATATTCTGTAAAATAACACTACCACATCACAAAACAATTGACAATTTCTGCTCAGGAGAGCCTGAGACTGTTACAGCAGAGGATCTTAAAAGATACAGCTGAATGAATAATTTGTGATGAATAATGAATTTCAGGGTTTTTTATTGATTGCAGTATATTCATCAAGACACTACAAAAGTCAACAAACTGATTAACTTAAATATTTGTAATCAGTCTAAAATCTGTTGAAACTAGAAAGGCATTGTTTAATTGTGGTTGGTTTGATGCCCTTGCACATTTTCCTTGTTGGATTAGAGCACATGGTCTCCCATCTAATAACATGCATGTGCAAGTTCACAAAAGCTCTGCATTTATAATAGACCTAACTGCAACACATACAGGTATACCCGAGACAATTGGTATAAACTGCAGCAAAGATGCATATAAATGACCTATGTGCACTTCCTGCAACTTGCACTGAAGCTCGTGTTGCTACATCTAACACTAGACGCTACAGGCTGCAAAAAGTGTGTGGGCTGGTTAGACTGAAGGGATCTGGCACATGCCAACATCAGCCTGCAATCACAGCAGATCCGGCACGGACGGAGCTTAAGCAACCAATTTGTTGCTAATGTGACGTTCTTATGCTTTCAACATTTCTGACAGAAAAAACAGAGGGAAAAGTGAACAAAAATCATTTGTGGTCACGGACAAGACAAATTCACTAAGGAACAGGAAATATTTACAGACAGTGCAGCTGCAAGCTGGAGGATAACACTCATTTCGTGAAGCACCAAAGACAAGATAGTAACAATCTTTGTTAAAAGTTCTATGAAAAAGTAACTCTAGCATCACAAAGTTTTTCCTTTTTCACAAAACTGCTATGAACATCAGTATACTCTTCCTCCAAAGATGTTAATACAGTCCCTGTCAGGCTTCTGCTCTACTGCTCACATGAATCGTTCCTCTCTTTGAGGCAAACAATGCCTTTCAGATTTCTTCAGGGAATTTATCCTCCTTTAGCCACCATTATGGTTTCTTCCTCCTGGAACTCCAGTCTAATGGGGTAAAAGTGACCAGCCCACATAACTGAGCTGTTCAATAAAGCAGACTAATAAGGAAAGCTGTAGCAGATATTTCTTTAAAATCTATTACTCAATTATTCCAGAATAACAAAAATCAGAATATGCCTGAACTGGTTCACAAGTAATGCATAAACTAGGGAGAAATCTAGTTCTGATGAATTAATGGTTTGAAAGAAGTAGTTCAGCTATCTCTAAAGTCAATTAAGAACTTGGCATTCATTGCTGTAAATTGTTTTGTGTGAAAATTTTCTTTAGGTTGAGCAACCGAGTAAAAATAAAGTCTGTCTCAGCAGGTGGAGTATTCTCTTCTCAAGGCACACACACAACCCCCAAGTGCAGTTAACTGTGTTCATGAAGAGGTGACTTGCAGTGAATTTACAGTAACTCTGGGAATCCTCCCGTACTACTTTTTCATTAATTACTAAACAAAATTGCTTATACATCACATTATGACCACATTCAGAAGTAACTTTGAAACAGAACATGAAAAGCATTAACAAGAGGATGACAATTAAAGTGTTAAAACTTTAGATGGGATCCCAATCTTTCCCTTGTTTAATAAGCGCAATGGCGCTACAGAAATAGTGCTTATAACCTTGGTTGTGTGTATAGCTGTTTCACTTATTCTTTCCCCTTTTTTTCATTTTGTAATTCATGAAAAGAAAGATGCAAAGTTGAGGGAGGAAGGAAAATTCTAAAATTGATTGTAAATACTGTGGCTCTGTACCTGCAAAAACGATAGAGAGGCATATTATATTACATATTATATTACCTACTGATCTTGAGATGCAAACATGGGTTTTGTCCTTGCAAGACAGAGGCAGCTAATACATACCCCAATGATAGAGCTAGCTGCCAGATAGACACTGTCTTCCAATGTTCCCTAGGACCCATATTTTTAGCTTAAGTTAGACAATCTACTGCTAACATTTGCACAGATCAACCATTCAGGCTTTCAACCAATTTTCAGTTTTAATAAAAAGGATCTGTTATACCTGAGAACATAAGCATCTCTCAATAAATACCATGCAACAATAATAACGCTGTATCATGAAGCCCTTTTGACAGAGTGTTTACAAGAAGGAGATGACAGACAATGAGCACGTCTCTGTTGGAGCCTGTGTTATAGATGCCTCCCCAAAGGGAGAAAGTTAACATATAATGTTTGGGACTTCAACAAAGCTGCATGTGATTAAAAGAATACTAAGACTGTAAGGAGATTATTATGCCAAAAAAACTATGGTATAAGATAACTGAACTTAATAGTTTTATCCCTTTTTTCTCCATAGCATCCTGTATCCCAAGCATTTAAGCACAAAAAAAGTGCCTTTGCAAAGTAATCATGTACTGTCTCAGTACATGATTGCTGTCTAGGAAAACATCACATCTACAATGGCACAATGACCTGTGTTTCCTAGCTTGTGTTTATGAACCTTTACAGCTGGTCAGGTTCTCAGCCGAGGTGATGGAGTGGGACTGTAGCCTGCTGTTTGCAAAACTCAGTTCTCCCTTTGCATAGGCAGAAGAAGATTTCCAGCAGCCAGCCTATACCTACAAATCTACTCCTGATTTCTGAAATGGCAGCATTGTTGCTTTCGTTATATATACCCGTATTCGTATTCATAGCATGTATCGGGGCTGATCGGGGCCTTTGCAACTCTACATAAATCCTTCAACACTACCTATATCGTCTGGTCATCATCCTAGTTCCACCAGATGGACTCATACAACAGGAAAAGAGAACAGAGCATTCAAAGGTACCTCAGTGGCACTGAGTTTAATCATCTGCCACAACTTCATCATATACTCCCTGTAGTGCATTGATCAACCTTTATCCTAAAACTACAATGATATCCAGGCTACTACTCAAGAAAGTTGTCCTACATTGAAAATGTTGATGCTTCTTTTCAGTTTAAAATTATTTATGATGAGTATTTATATTTATATGTGCCACCATACTCCTTCATTTTAAATAAGTCTTTTACTTCTCGTTGTGCTTTCTCTGATGTATTTATAAGCAGCAGTCACATACTCTTTTCAGTCTTTCAAACTGAAGACCGAAACAAGACAGACTCTCTAACGCTTTCTATGGAACACAGCTTATTCATTCTTCATATTCACTTATGAATGCAGTTTGAGTCCATAGTAATCAGGAGGCCATTTTAACTAGGTGAGATAATAGTGGTGTGTTCTCATGCTGTATTCAAAGGAGGTGACAACAGTGTCTCATGAAGTGGTTTTAATGTTTCTGACTTTCTAATGGAAATGTCTTGATTAATACTTCCTCTCATTCCATGACACTTTTGCACAGCTGCATCACTTTGTGACTTGGTTATCCTTTAATCAAGTAGTATAACTGAAATTTTTCCTCCTCATTTGTTTCTTAAATTTTGTTAGCTCCCAAACGCCTGATCTTGTATTTAGTACTGCAGAGCTTCAATCCACCTCTGTTATGCTACTCTTTGAAGTTATCAAATTCATTCTTTATATCTAGATTCTTATCCGTACTGAGTCTATCTTTTAACTACTTTTTTCAGCATGTTCCAACTTCTTTGTGCCAAACTTATGCACAAAAGCAGTGAACAAAATTTGTCCCCAACGTCGACTCTTTGAGACCTCCATTAGTGCTCCACTGGTGATCGTCTTCAGCCCAGCACTTACCTTCTCAACATAACTCCTTACTATCGCCCTTTTAACCACCTCTGTGTATCTGCATTATAGTTTTTCTGGCTCTCCCTACTTTCTCCCATTAAAGGCATTAGCCACATGTGAACAACAAACGTTGACTGAGGCTGTATAGAGATCTAGCTCACCTACACCAAATTCGAAGAAAGTCATCAGTGTAGTGTTGCAGAAACTGCTGCTGGTAAACCTCATGACAATTTTTAGCCTCCTTTGTATCTACCCAAAGAATCTGCTTCCCTCTCATTTGTTCTAAAGCCGTGACTAGTCTAATTCAACATAATAGGTCTTCAGTTCCTTTGATAAATTTTTCCTCTTCCTAACTATTTGACATATGCTATTCCATCATCACATGACACAGCTCCCATCTTGATAGATTTTGCTGAGCCAGTTCTCCTTCCGGACTTCTTTGATCAAGATTAACCAGACCATCTTGAGTTGAGCGCTTTGGTTTCTGCATTTTACTTCCCCTTTGACTGTAGTAATGTCTATTTTCATACGTTTGATTCTATTCCCATTTTACCTTCGTCCTCAGATAATCACCCTAACTCAAAAATGAAAGATATTAATTCAGGATTGCCCTAACTGCTTCATATATTATCTCCATCCCACCATCACCTTTGCTTCTTCCTGTATAGGACTCCTTTATACAGAAGAATAGTTGATTGCTTTCAGTATTACCTGTAATTCTTAACTCTCAATGATTCTTGGAAATGTTCACTTCAAGCATGACTTCTTGCCCTCTGTGATGTAATTTGTTTCTTTCCCTCACCCTATTCCTTTTAGGCATTCTTTTTAGTGATTTTCTCCAGAAAACTATGTTTTTTCCTTGGGAAAATATCAGGTTTCTTATACTTTCTCCCTTTCAGGCTTCCTCTTCCTTTACATTCTCAGTTGCTTTAGTTTACCAATACTTGTTCTTTGAAATTCAATACCCTTATTTACAGAAAAACTTTAATTTACTCTTTCTTTTAAACTGAATCAATTATATTGGGAGCACAAAGAGTAAAATGCTTACTAAATAAAAAAAAAATTGTTTCTACCAGGGTTTTCACAGTGTTAAAAGTTCATTAAAAATGCAAACACAAATTATTTAAGTTTTAAATTTTAGAGTAAGTTTATCCCATTTTTGTAAGACAATACAACTGCTCTAAGGCTGAAAGCCTCTGCGTTTGGCTTTCATCACGGTATTCTCTGAAATGAATCCCTCTAAAATCAATGATGACTGAATCAATAAATGAAAGTCAGGATGACTAATTACCAAGAAAACTGCTATTCAAAGGGATCACAACTCAACCCCACAATTAACAAAACCCTAATTCATTTCTATCTGTTACAAATTAATACAGTATGGGTCTTCTTCGTACTAAAATCAACAGATAATCTGAGATGAATTTTTGAGCACATTCTATACTTTACAGGAAGTTTACTGATTAAACACATATGTTACTTTGCAGTTCTGACAGTACTAAGAGTTGTTTTACATATGCAAGCAGACGACATAAAATTCTTCTACTGTAATAACAGTGCATAATACAGGTGAAATATTTTAGAAGTAAAATTCAGTGGAGATTCAAATTTTCAATTCAATTTCTGCAGTAATTCTCTGCATGCAGCTGAGGTTGGTTGAGACAGAAAATTGCTATTATCTCATAACCTGAGTGAAATAACTAGGTGATCTCTGTCAGTGAAATTTCAGCAACCCCAAATGATTTCCCACCTTGATAGTCTTATTGCCAGGTCTAAATTATATTGGTTTTAGGAACTGGAAACAGACAGCTCCTGATTTTAAGAAATGATCACCCATCATGAGTGCCCATGAAAACACCAACAGAGAAAACAGGTCCGGATGCAGAAAAGAATATTTCTGTGGCAAGCAGAAATAAAACAATAATATAGTTTAATAACAGCATAAAACAGACAACCTGCAGAGCTCCTGTAATTTTTCCAGGCTCACATCAGGTTTGGAATAGAATGCAGAGACATTTAGGACAAAATGTATCCCAGTAAAAAAGAAGTTTCCTCATTTGGCCACATTTGACCATTTGGCCACATCAAACGCTATTTAGAAATGAAAGAAATTGAGTAAATTAGGAAGCCATCACATGGTGAATAAATTAAAGACAGCCGTATAAATCTTAAATGTTCAAGTCTGTTGCATGTTTTATAAAGTAAGGTCCTTGTATAATAAATTTTAAGTTATAAAACTACAAGAAGAATTCTTTATAAATTAAGCTAGTCATTCCATATCTTAAAACAGTTCTGAAGCAAAGATTTTCAGGATAGTCTGATGCTTGACATCTGCATATAAGATGACTATTTTTTTGTTTGTTTGTTTGTTTTCTGAGAAAGAGATTTTGTGTGCAAAGGTGTTAAAATGAGCAATCTGGGATTCTGCATTAGTTCACTATAAATTCAGTGTGCTTACTCTGTAATTTCCCTATGGAAAACAGGGAGTCTTGAGAGTCATTCAGCTTTTAGTTTAAATGACGTTCATAAGCAGAAGAAATATTTTCAGTCTCTAATTTATTTCCATACTTTTAAGCTTAGGTAATGTCATGGTAAAGCACCTAAAACATTTCAAACTTGAATATTGCAATCATGTTATTAGAGATAAGGGAATGTCACTGTGTTTTTTCTGAACTTCACCTTCTGACTAATTGGAGATAAAATTGCCCCCAGAACTTCTGTGGAAAGCATTCTAGGCAACAATTCTATAGTTCGTCTATGTTCAGTAAAATTATTAAACATATTTTAAAAATCTATGTGTAATAAGGAATAAACTCTAAGAAATGGATCCGATGTGACAGTTGGCATTAATTTTTCATGCCAAATTAAAGGCTTAAGTAAGGTAAAAGTAGATAGGACCCAAATATCCCTTCCTGGCTCATATGCTGCACTTCGGTAGGTTAAGCAAATCATTCATTCAAAAGAGAAGGAATACGTAGCTGACTGGGGGACTGCAATGAAAATGGACCAACTACTACAGATGCTAGATCATAACCTCATGCAATCCCAGACTTCTTTATTCAGTAATTAAAAAAAAAAATTATCCTTTTAATAAATAAGTCTTCCCCTCCAGATTATGTAGCTAAAAAAATTCTGAACTCATTTTTCTCAGCCTTTTTTCTCTGTCTATGTGTGTTCTGGAGAAGACGTTACCACTGCCATCCCACCAACACTATTGCTTATACCAGACACAAGTTTGGTTTCTAGTCCCATAATGAAGCATCTGCACTCTTTTTCATCCAAAAAGCCTACAAACAGAATTCTAATCCAAATGCCATCCAGTGATGGGTGACTCTCTTCTTGGAAACAACCACCCAAACTTTTCAAAGACTAGTTTTCAAAGGCCACCATGTGTTCATAAATAAGTCATTATTCATTTCAAGTATTATTTGTTTAAAAAAACAGTGACAAAGGCTGGAAGTTTGCAACCATGTCTTTCTGCAGCAAACAAGTCATTAACTTCATGAACATTAACAAAGAAAGTCTTGTTTTTAATAGTTTCTCAAACTACAGTGGCTTCATTCACTGGTCTGTGTCTACAGCTTGGATGGTGTCTTTAAACGCTTCCTCTAGGACTTTTAAAAAACACAGACAAAGTTGGCCAGCACTGTTACTGCCCCTTATGTCTGCAGCTAAGAAAATGCTCGGACATCTGCTTAATGAGTTCTCTGAGGCTCTGTCAGTACCATATCATTCAGCATCTCTCCTAGTCACAGCGCACAAAAATCCTGCACATGTATCATCAGTTCAACGACATCCCTCGGCAGCCTGCCAAATCTCCCGTCAGACAGCCATTTGCTTACCTATGTTGCTTGATGGGCTGGGTTCCTCTGTCGGGAGACAAGGCCTCTGGGAAAGACTGAGGGCCTGAAAAACTAGACTCCATAACTTTGTCCAGAATAGGCCCAGGATGCCTATCTGTTTTTGAATACTGTGGCACAGAGAATAAAATTAATTAATACACAAAAGGCAAAGTACATTGCTGATGCTATTGAATCAGAATTCGTATCGGAATGGGGTAAGAAGTGCTCTAATGCATTTTTAAATTAAAATTAGGCATTGCAAGTAATTCATTCATTCACTATTGTTTACATAGTGGAAAGTGCTGGTACTCATTATCCCCATTACTTTCTCCACATCAAAATGCTGATAGCTGCATTAGTAGCAAAATTACTGACTGATCTGCCCATAATGATAGCAAACACTGATCCCTTTGACTAAAAGCCTGGTTTTGTGTCTGTCCATGCAGAGACTGAGATCATGAACATCTCAGAGGATGGTCAGCACCTTCTTGGGTCCTTTGGTGATTTCAATCAAACACTGCTTTTATCAGCATGTATAACTATGAACACCAAACTGAAACAGCATTTGTATCATCAGATAAGTAAGAAAAATATTTGAATCCTATCTCTAGAGTCAGATATCCCTTCTGAACAAGTCTGAAACTTTTGACCTGGGAGTATCTGTGCTGGTAAGAACAGTGTAAACATAATTCTTCTTGTGACAGTTGTAGGCGTAGGGCAGTCTCTGGGCACAGAGTGATACACAAAGGTCTGCAAAGTAGACACCAGATATGAACAAGAACAGATTTTCTTCTTCTTGCTTTGTGATTCAACTGGAAATCCAGCAAAAATTGTGTCTCTGATCCAGAATGGAGCCAGAAAGTCAAAGTATAAAAAAAGCTCCATTTTGGCTTGGAACAAGAATCAATGTTTTTAGTGGTTACTGGGCAGTATCTCAGAGATATGAGAGGTTAACCCACATTTCCACTCAGGTATGAAAAATACTGCACTTTGCAGATTTTTTTATGTTGCTTTACAATGACATATACTGAAACTAATTGGTCTATTTTTCTTTAATCCATTTCTTTCCATATTGAGTTTGTATTTTTAGTACTAGATACTTAGATATCCATGTTATCTTTACAATAAACTAGTATTGTGGAAGCTATTACATGATTAAATATTTTTAAAAGAAAATACTAATTAAAATAATAATGATATAAAACAATCACAGTGGTAAAAAATGGCATGCTATCATACAATAGCATATACATTAGTGGAGAAGATAGTAAGATTTCTTTCAAAGTACAGTTGTTCTTCATAATTATTTTGTTGTCTAACAAAAGACCAATAACTCTTCAAAAATACAGAATTATTTTCCGATTCTCATTTGTCTACATTTCCCCAGACTTCAGCAAAATCAAAAAGGAAAGTCATACAAGATTGCTTTCTTTTAAAAATGGGTTACATGCAATTTTAATCCATCTAGTCAGACTTCTTATGATCGATTTCTATAGACAAAATAACAGATCTTCAAATATTTTTCCAATGCTTTTCTCCCTCTTTCTGTGGTGTGAAATACCCACATAAACAGGGACAAAATCACTGCTTAGGTGCTTCTGAAGGCAAAGCTATGAGAGTGACAACATGCAAAATGTTGCCGCATGCATGAAGTAAACACAACTGAAATAAGAAGAAACAGATTGCACTCTTATTTATTTCAGTCACCATGATCTTAGTTGTCACTTGTATATGTTGTAGACAAAGTATTCAGACAGAAGTATGATTTTTAAGGTACTCATGTCTGTGAAGGTTTTAAACTTTAAGTTACCCAACCAGCTGCAGAAATGAAACTGTCTTTGATTTCTGACCTGGATAAATCAATTTGATCTATGCAAAGAATGGGTTGTTAGTGCCAAGAAGCTATTTCTCTCTTTTTTGTCTTTGTTCATGATACTAAGTTGAAGGTCCGAATGGCTTATGAGACCATGAGTATGAAGTGAATCATGAAGAGTAATTAGAGATCAACTGTGCCTTTTGCTACATCCATGGTGAAGGTGGATGTGGGCTGGAGCAATGGTATACAGACTCTTTCCTCATCACAACTGAGGAAAATCAGGACTCCAAAAAGATGCTCTGATGCTGACTAGCAAACTATACTAAAGGTCCAACACCCAGCACCACCCAGGCACAGCCTACAAAGGACATTTTTTCCCCCAACCGAACATTTCTTTTATGCCATTTTCAGATACACCACTTACCAATTACCGTAACAGCCATGACGTTAATTACAGTGAAAACATGAATCACAATTTAAATTGAGGGTGTGAATATACAGAGAATTTGAACAATGTAATTGAACTTACTTGGATGTATCACATTATTCATACATTTTAATAGGTTTAAACACAGTTCGGTTTATTCTCCTTTAGCTTAACTATAAGTGCCACATCCCTTCTGTGCTGGTTTCGGCTGAGATAGAGTTAATTTTCTTCACAGTAGTTGGTATGGGGCTATGCTGTGGATTTGTGCTGAAAACAGTGTTGATAACACAGGGATGTTTACGTTCTTGCTGAGCCCTGCTCACACAGAGTCAGGGCCTTTTCTGCTCCTCACCCCACCCCAGCAGCGAGGAGGCTGGGGGTGCACAGGGAGATAGGAGGGGATACAGCCCAGACAGCTGACCCCAACTGAACACAGGGTATTCCATAACATATGACTTTATGCTCAGAATACAAAGCTGGGGGAAGAAGGAGGAAGGGGGGGACTTTTGGAGTGACAGCGTTTGTCTTCCCAAGTAACTGTTACGCGTGATGGAGCCCAGCTTTCCTGGAGATGGCTGAACATCTGCCTGCCCATGGGAAGTGGTGAACAAATTCCTTGTTTTGCTTCACTTGCATGCACAGCTTTTCCTTTACCTGTTAAACTGTCTTTATCTCAACCTATCAGTTTTCTCACTTTTACTTTTCCAATTCTTTCCCCCATCCCACCAGGGGGAGTGAGTGAGCTCCTGGGTGGTACTTAGTTGCTGGCTGGGGTTAAACCATGACACCTTCTCTGCGATCATCTCTGGAGAAAAATGTCTTCAGATTTCTGTGAGGAATTTACAGCAGTATCAGTTGGTGTCTCCAGAAGTACAGTATAGGATTACTCCCCATCCATATCCCAGCAGAGACCATCCCGGGGCTTCCACAGCCCAGTTCTCACCTGGGCTGAGCTCTGCGGAGCACTCTGACTGTTGTGAGCTGCTGAATACTCAGCCATGATGGAGAATAAGCTGTGAAACACTCTCAAGGGACTGTTCCAGTAGGTTGAAAGCATCACTGAAACCTTATCTGTATTATTTGGTGGTTTTAATGCTTTTATTTATTTTATTTATTTATTTATAAAATTCCACCCCCCGCTAGTTAACGCTAAGTGAATCTGCAAAGGCAGCCTGTGCCAGGAGACAAGAAATCAGCCTCTGTCACTGACCTACGACTGTGAGTACGTAATTCCCCTGCTCCATGCCTTGTATTCTTTATTCTAAAGTGTAGAATCCATGGATAACAAATGCCATTCAAGTGCTACAAAATAGCTTGACACTGTTGTCCTAGTATTATGCAAAACAAAACATCCATCCCTCCCCCCCCCCCCCCGCCACTCTT